ACTCGCCTATCATTCTCGTTATATGTCCTTCAAAGTCTTTCTATATGGTCAGTGCGATTGTATCTGTTTCAACTGTGGGCATGTCAGATAATAGAATTCAGAGCCACAGTGTAGTAAGTATCTTCACTTGCCTATTGTTCTCGTTATATGTTTTCTGAGGTCGTCCTTTATGGTCAGTGCGATCGTATCTGCTATAATTGTAGGCATGTCAGATGCTAGAATGCGAAGTAACAGTGTAAATATAGTCGAAATCGAAGTTTCTAGTTCTGCCTGTTGTGCGTGTTATACCCGTTTCGATGTCGTCTCATATGATCGAGGCGAACTGATATGCTCCAGAGGTATCTATGTGAGATGATAAAATACAGAGATACAGTGTGCAGACTGATGTTGTCGAAGTACCCTCACTCGCCTATTATTCTCGTTATATGTCCTTCAAAGTCTTTCTATATGGTCAGTGCGATTGTATCTGTTTCAACTGTGGGCATGTCAGATAATAGAATTCAGAGCCACAGTGTATACATGAAGTTTCTTGTTCTCCCTGTTTTATGCGTCATTCCCGTTTCTCAAATGATCGTTGCGAACTGATATGCTCCAAACGTATACACGTGAGATGATAGAAAACAGAGATATAGTGTGCGGACTGATAATGTCGTTGTGATGGTCAGTGCGATCGAATCTGCTATAACTGTAGGCATGTCAGATGCTAGAATGCAAAGTTACAGTGTAGACATATTCGAAGTCGAAATTTCTCATTCTGCCTGTTGTGTGCATTAAACCCGGTTTGATGTCGTCTCATATGATCGTTGCGAACTACCATGCTACAAAGGTATTCATGTGAGATGTTACAATACAGAGATACAGTGTGCAGACTGATGTCGGAGTATCTTCACTTGTCAATTGTTCTCGTTATATGTCCCTCGACGTCGTCTTGTATGGTCAGTGCGATCGTATCTGCTATAGCTGTAGGCATGTCAGATGATGCGGAGCAACAGTGTAAGCATAGTCGCGGTCGGAGTTTCTTGTTCTGCCTGTTATGTGCGTTATCCCTGTTTCGATGTCGTCTTATAGGATCGTTGCGAACTGATATGCTCCGAAGGTATCCATGTGAGATGATGGAATACAGAGATACAGTGTGCAGACTGATGTTGTCGAATTATCCTCACCTTTTGCCTGATGAACTCGTTTTATGTCCTTCGAAGTCGTCTTATATGGTCAGTTCGATGGTATCAACTATAGCTATAGGCATGTCAGATTCTAGAGTGTGGAGTAGCAGTGTGAACAAAGTCGGAGTCGAAGTTCCATGTTCTGCCTGTTGTGTGCGTCATATCCGCTTCGATGTCGTCTTGAATGATCGTTGCGAACATATATGCTACACAGGTATCTATGTGAGATGATACAATACAGAGATGAAGTGTGCAGACTGATGTTGTCGAACTATCTCCACTTGCTTATTGTTCTCGTTATATGTCCTTCGATGTCGTCTTATTTTTTCAGTGCGATCGTATCTGCTATACCTTCGAGCATGTCAGACGCTGGAATACTAAGTTACAGTGTAAACATAGTCGGAGTCGTAGTTTCTTGTTTTGCCTGTTGTGTGCGTTATACATGCTTCGATGTCGTCTTCAATGATCGTTGCGAACATATATGCTACAGAGGTATCTATGTGAGATGTTACAATACAGAGATACAGTGTGCAGACTGATGTCGAAGTATCTCCACTTGTCAATTGTTCTCGTTATATGTCCTTCGAAGTCGTCTTATATGGTCAGTGCAATCGTACCTGCTATTGTTGTAGGCATGTCAGATGCGAGAATGCGGAGGTACAGTGTAAACATAGTCGGAGTCGAAGTATCTGGTTCTGCCTGTTATGTGCGTTATACCCGCTTCGATGTCGTCTCATATGAAGTAGTCTTATATGATCGTTGCGAACATATATGCTTCAGAGGTATCTATGTGAGATGAAAGAATACAGAGATGCTAGAATGCGAAGTTTCGGTGTGAACATAGTCGAAGTCGAAGTTTCTTGTTCTCCCAGTTGTAAGCGTCATTTCCATGCAGGAAACACTAGACATTGTCTACCTAAAAGATGTATAACTGACTTATTATCAAGATTGATAAATTCGAGAATTTGGCGAACACGCCGGTTTACCGACTCTTGATTGTTGGAATCGAAGTTTTTAGTAGATATGAAAAAGTATAGTACTCCACTTGCATATAATGAGCTGTCATATATACTCCTTGAATGAGCATTTGAGATGCTGAAATGCAAAGTTACAAAGTAAACATGGTCGAAGTCGAAGTTTCTCGTTCTGCCTGTTGTGTTCATTTTATCCGCTTCGATGTCGTCTCATATGATCGTTGCGAACTTATATGCTCCAGAGGTATCTATGTGAGATGATAGAATACAGAGATACAGTGTGCAGACTGATGTTGTCGAAGTATCTCACTTGCCTATTGTTCTCGTTATATATCCTTCGAAGTCGTTCTATATGGTCAGTGCGATCGAATCTGCTAAAACTGTAGGCATGTCAGATGCTAGAATGCAAAGTTACAGTGTATACTTAGTCGGAGTCGAAGTTTCTTGTTCTGCCTGTTCTGTGCGTTATACATGTTTTGATGTCATCTCATATGATCGATGCGAACTGATATGCTCCAGAGAAATTCATGTGAGGTGATAGAATACAGAGATACAGTGTGCAGAATGATGTTGTCGAAGTATCTCCACTTGCCTATTGTACTCGTTATATGTCCTTCGAAGTCATCTCATATGGTCAGTGCGATCGTATCCACCATAGCTGTAGGCATTACAGAATCTAGAATGTGAAGTTTCAGTGTGAACATATCCGGAGTCAAAGTTTCTTTTCCTGTCAATTGTGTGAGTTATAACCGCTTCGATGTCGTCCTGTTTGATCGTTGCGATATAATATGCTACGGAAGTATCCATGTGAGATGATAGAATACAGAGATACAGTGTGCAGACTGATGTTGTCGAAGTATCTCAACTTAGTAGATAAGATTAGCCGTTTCTGACTCTCCGCCCGAGGTCACTCTCCTCTGACCTTGGGCGAAGTGACCTTGGGCGGGAGTAACCTTGGGCGGAGTGACCTTGGAGCAGGAGTGCCCTTGGGCGGGAGTGACCTTGAGTAGGAGTGACCTTGATGCAGAAGTGGCCTTGGACGGAAGTGACCTTGGAACAGGGGTGGCCTTGGCAGGAAGTGACCTTGGGCGGAGTGACCTTGGGGCAAGAGTTGCCTTGAGGCAAGAGTGGCATTGGGCGGAAGCGACCTTGGGTGGGAGTGAACCTCCGCATGTGCGACCTTGAGAGTGAGTGACATTGAGTTGTAGAGAGAGTGAGGCCTTGAAAGCGTGTTCGAAGTTGAAGACACTTTCGCGCATCACATCACCATAGTGGGGGTTGTTTGCGTTTCTATAAATACGAAATCCGCCACATGCACAAGCATAGTTCTTGCAATAACATTGAACATTGCTTCTGCTCAATTGAGTTGGGAAAGTTTGAGTGTGATAAAAGGTTATCTGTTTTATGTAAGTCCGCTTACTCATATATTATTCACACCCCTTTCACTTGGACGAAAATAATGGCTGCCCCCAAAATCGATTAAGCTTCAATTAATGATAAAATTGATGAGGAGAATGAAATTGTAAAGCAAATTTTGATATCATCACTACCCCTCAATAAAAGCTATATTATCAAGAAAATCTCATTTTGCGGAACCAGATTCGGTAGGAGTGGTACTGTAATTTTATATGATGAAGAGACCGAAGTGAGTTTGAAAACTTGGTTACCAAAAAGAGTTGTTGACAAATTTATGGAGAGCGATATTGATGAGATAAATTCTTCCAACGGTCTTTACAATTTAACATACTTGGGACAGAGTGAGCCTCTATTCGCGGGTGCAAAGACGAGAGCTCTCATGAAATTCGATGTGAACAAAAAGTAAAGATCATTTCATAGTATATAGGAAAATTGATTTAATCATAGGGATGCATCAGCCACGTTTAGTGTAGTGTAAATTGGTTTGAATACTATATGATAATCCTTACATATAATATATAACCTATTATATCACACTCTGATGAAGGTTGAATTTGTATAGGTGAGTGGTGCTACAGATATATCATTCGATTAATGATCAATTCTTCAACTCATCCACTCGTGACCTAAGTATTTTTTCCATTTATGTTGCAGGATAATTCACCTCAATAGATGTGCAATATGTGGATGCATTATTCCAGTCAATCTTGGCCGGTAGCGGAAGATATCAAGTCGAGTGTGAGGAGGCTGAAATGTCAGTTTGCCGATTTAGAGCAGGACGCAATGCATGCAGCTAATTATGACACGAGTGTGTGCTTTGATCAAAAACAGGTTCAGAACCTCTGCAAGCAAGCTGAGCAATACAAATTGGGGTTCCTACTCTGCGCCCGTTTCGAGTATAATAACATCAATGTAGAGGAATTCGTTGAGGCCATGGTTGAAGAGGACTTAGTGCAATTCCTGTATGAAATTTCCGATTTTTTGCCGAACCATCTCGTCTGAAAATATAGCATTGGAATAACTCCAGAGGTGTCTGATGTAGGAGAAGAAGAAGAAGAAGAAGAAGAAGAAGAAGGACAAGAAGAAGAAAAAAGCTTATAATTCTGCATTAAATCTCCACACAACGGCTACTTCAACCTCTGAATACTTATAAGATGTATGGGTACTATAATTGTTAATGTATATGTATAGAAAAAAAAAAAAATATGGTACATATTCGTTTTATTCAGTATAACAACAACGGATTCTAGAACAATAACTATGATATCAAATATATAAATCAATCTCGAAATGGCCGTTATTATTAACATGAACATGATACATTCAATGTCTATAAAGCACCCATCTGTATGGAACCATCCAGTGCACTATAAGTTAAATATGCATCATGAAGAATAAGTGCGTAAACTTTGGTGTGCGATGGAAACTTCGTGTTTCAAATTCCAACTTGATGTCGACAGTGGAAGATTTCATCGCATCGGGTTGGTGGTTGCAGTCAATGATAAATAGTGGGTTTTTTCGGAATTCCTCGATGCTCATCATTGGTTCGCTCATGTCTTTGCCGTAGTAACTACGTTGGAAGTTGTCATATGCATGATAGGCTACTGCATCTAATTTCTTATCGAAATCCAAATTCCATCGCTCGTATGGATAAACTTCGGAATTCAAATACAGGCGAATATTGCTCACTCCTGCATGGGTGAATTGTGTGATATCCTCAGATCCATTATCAGTGTTATCAGTGTTTTGGAATCCAATGATGATATATCGAGGCCGCTCGAGGCTATTGGTAGTTTTAACGGCCCAAATGTCAGATGCTGTTTCACGAATAGTCGGTAACTCATACAGATCCCACATCCTGTATGCAATTTTCACTTTTGCCGTAGAACTTCTATTCAAACGGGTCAATAGCTTCAATTTCTGCTTATCTGTTGGCATCACATGTCTTATCTTCCACTCAATTTTGTTAATCTCCACATCGGCGTCCACTTCCCCAATATATGAGTTCTTGAATGAGCGAGCTATGATGAGTATTAGCTCCTGTTTGATATTCAAAATACCTCTACAATAATCTTCGGCAAACCCCATCAGATATTCAAGGGGTAGTTTGCCGCTAGAAACGTTGCTAGCTTTATCTAGAAGCACCTGCTTGCCACCATCAAGGCCCCATCCAATTGTCTCTAGGAATTTCATATTACTCTCTCCATAAGAAATCATACTCTTCATGGTAGTAGTGATGCCTGGTTTTCGTACCATGCATACTTGTTCGCCACCCATTTCATAGCGTATTTCATCAAATGAGAATGCTAGAGCATTATTAGATAAATAGCAGGTTTTAGTGGCATCGTTTGGTGTGAATTTTCCCTCAATATAGATGTAACTTTCAGAAATATCAAGAATCAGATCTTGAAAGTTGACGGCGATCCTTATTTCATCAGAATTCTTGAATGAGGGTGACCCATATGGTTTGTATGTGTGCTCATGTAGGCTCATCAGTGAATGATCTAAAATTGGTTCATCAAACACGTCCAATTGGGGGCTAGTAGAGGCTGTTGCAAGCATCTTGCAGCTGGTTATCGTAACTTCAGACCAATTGACTTCAAAAAATATTTGTCGCTCGCAGACAATCTATGTCTTTCACGTTCGGGAAGTTCTGCTCGAATGAATCCACTACCACGTTTTCTCTCCTTCTCATTGATATTGCGCTGAATGGTATCGGAGCTAGTCGGTTGCATGCGTTTTGATTGGTTCCCAAAACAAAACCCCATTTTATTCCTTTGATGGTGTCTGCTTAATGAGCGAGTTGTTTCAGTTCTAGCTTAACGATGATTTTTTCTCCTCGAAAATCGACTAAAAGACCGTCATCATTCAATATTCTCAGTGTAATGTTGTCGATGAACTGACGCCCAGTCGGGCTGATGGGTAAATATATGATATTTTGCGGCTCTTTTGATAGCTTATACCCAGGCTCCACATCAACATTGAACTCATATAGTGTATGAACCTCCTCACCATTGAAGAATGCTCCTGTGATAATATTGCAGTCCTCCCTCAAGAGACGAACCTTTATTATATTCACAGGCAACGTGGATTCATGCAATATATTAGGTGGTTATTTCTTGGCTTCAAATCCCAACACTCCGGCTATGGAAGTCGCAGGTGTGAAATCCACCTTGTACACACATTTTATTTCACATTTTAGGGTGTTATTATTAGCATGGGGAAAAAATATATCATCAATATTTCGCTCATCGAGCGGTATTGTGCACGCTATAGCCTTTTGTAGAGCTTTATTGATTTCCTCTATTTCATAGGCGCCAGGTGGTATGTGGACTATTTTGTGGGTGATTTTAGCTCCTAACACAGCCCAAAAGTCCAATCGGTTATTTTTCTCATCTATATTGAGTATGGAGTTATATGAGTAGAAACCATGCAATCCCAAACCATGGGATTTTTTTGTATCGAGTTCAATAGGTGGGTAGAAGTCGGCGCTCAAAACACTGCGGTCCCCAGATATGGTGAAAGTTTGTGACATGACTTCTCAGAGGAAGAAGACGGCGAAACTGTGATAAATGTTGAAATATATGCGCAACCGTGATGGAAAGGTGACAACCTTATTGCTGCATACAACGAATGCCGCCGTTTTCACGAGGTGAAGTATTAATACATTCATTTTCCACATTCACATCTTTGATCTGTCAAAAACAGCAAAATATTCTTCTTGGTGTTGGTCCATCATTCACATCAGCAGCGCCATGTTTGCCATCTTCTTCATGATGATGTTCTTCACAAAATTGGTATTTTGATACGTCCGGATCGTTACGTAATTGCTGAGGAAGTTTATGCCACACTGCGAGCTGCTTTTCACTCATTTTCAGCAGAAAACGCAATCTTGAGTAAGCCAGTAATGAGTGCCCCATTCGTTTGATGCTCTCTCTATCCATATTGAAGACTTTTTTTGCGTCCGTTGTTTGCCGAGAGAAATTTTAAGCACAAATGACCACACCAGACTGTGTTGAAATCCTGATGGCGCTCGTAGTTATATGTGATTTTGATAGTGTTCAACGATTCTGGCCCTCTCTGCAGATATTCCATCAACTCCTGAGGAGGTGGCAAATCTCCACAGCTATCATAATATTCCACTCCTCTATTACGTTTTTTATATGCAACCCAGTGCGTACCATTGCCTCGATTGCTATCTAAATTCAGAATAGCTGCTTCTACGCGATGAGGGCCGGAACGAGGAAGCTTGTCCCTCATAAATATACCTCGAAAGTGTGGTACTTTCATTTCATCTACATAATTCAATAGATCAATGTCTGTTAAGGCCCTTCGAGGTAGTTCATTCAGTTCTTTGAATTTTGAGGTTCCAGATAGATGCCCAACCCCTTTCGATATGGTTTCAAATAAACTCCTTCACCAACTTTCCCAAGAGCGATCGCCTCCATATGCCTATTGTGTCGACTTGCTTCCGAAAGCTGCTCCCTACTCTCTTTCGCTGAACGAATGGCACGAGCTATACCAGCACTTCCTGCAGCCAAACTGCCTAAAGCCGATAAGCCCGCGAAAATGGGTATTAGTGGAAGTATTCCGCCAACTTCAGGTATTGGTATTATCCTAGGTGTCCGTATATTCTTTTTCCCACCTGCCAACTTGACAAATTTTTGGGCAGCTCCGATCGCCATGAGGGATGTTTTGGCTAAATTTCTGACGACATCACTCTCCTCACCCATTTGCCGTATGACATTTAGAACCTTGTGGACTACGCCAGAGCCGAAAGCAATTTTGCTTACACGCTTCGATTTATTCTTTTTCCTTGTAATGCGACGTTTTTTCATTCCACTACGTCCACTACATCCCATTTCGAAGCGCCTCTTCCCCTTCATTATATTGGTGACTAACCAAGAAGCGGTCCTTTCCCCTACGTTAGCGTCTTTCGATTTTACCCGCTCCCAGGCAGCTTCTTCCAATTTCTCATCTGCTGAATGCCTAGTTGATAAATCGTTTGGATACTTCAGATACGCTATATCGTGTTCCTTGCAAGCTTTATTCAGTCGATTTATCCCCTGGTCACCCCGAACTAATCGTTTTTGGAGTTTTGTTCCAGGCCCACAGTATTGGTAACCAGGAATGTGTAACTCGAATGGTATTCTATTTATAAGGGTATTTACAATCCCTTTACTGCTTCTCTTTCATCGACTAATTCTATTATTATTTATCGATGTGCAACGCTCCAGCTTCATAATATAAATGACCCCAACACGGGTTGCACTACCTTATATATCATTCAACCGTCATACAATGCGGATAGTTCAGCAGGCAGAAACCTTCAATGTGGACAATTTTGATGAGGAAGTGGGTTTGGGAAGTAACATCATCTCAGAACGCCGACATGGAACACTATTTCCCAACACAATTCGCGGCCTCATAATTGGTCCATCGAGTTGTGGTAAAACGAATGTGATGATATCACTCCCCACCAACGAAAATGGTTTACGGTTCACAAATATCTACCTCTACTCAAAATCGTTATACCGACCCAAGTATGAGTACCTACGAAAGGTGTTGGAGCCGATCAAAGGTTTGGGATTCCACACTTTTGATAATAATGTAGATATAATAGAACCAGCGAATGCTGAACCTGACAGCATTTTCATATTCGACGACGTCATTTGTGAGGAACAAGATGTGATCAGATCGTATTTCTCTATGGGTCGCCATAAAAATGTGGACTGCTTTTATCTGGCGCAGACATACTCCAGAGTACCCAAACAGCTCATTCGCGACAACTCCAACTTCATTGTTATGTTTAAACAGGATGAAATGAATCTTCACCACATTTTTTTCGATCACGAATCTCCAGAAGTTACATTCAAGCAATTTCAAGATATGTGCGCGCAGAGTTGGACAGATAGATATGGATTTATAGTTATCGATAAGGATAGTGAAGTGCAAGAGGGCCGCTACAGAAAAGGATTCGATAACTTCATATATCCGTGAAATCTAAGCACTGCGTGATTCATTCAATCATAAGATGTGACTATGAGCACATCTCATGAGAAAATGACTGAAATGAATTCAGAAATTCACCTCAAAAGTGAACTCATTGGAGCAACCGAAGCAGTAAGAAAAAAGTTCGTAAGCCTGAAAAATTACCGTATGGGAAATCAATTGGCGCTCGAAAAGGTGTATGAACCACTCATGAAACCGTTGAATGTTATCTCAGCAGCAGCAGCAGCAGCAGCAACTCCAAATACAACAGCTACTACGAAGAATATTAACAAACAGTTAACGACAATAATGGCACAACCCACATATCGCCTGGTAAATTCTCAAGGGGCATAAGTGTACCTTCAAAACTGCAATATTGCAAATCCAAGAACTAATGACACGTCCGTATTGAATGCCTATATTGAAATGCGGGCAAATATAAATTGAAACGGGTTCAAAGATCGAATCGCACTTTTGTGACTTTAGTATTAGGAGATAGTGCCGTATCAGCTATGGAATGAGTGGAGCTAAGCACAACTGAAGCCTGAATTATTGTAGCGCAAACTCAGAAATTGCACAGTACCAAAAGGCATAAGTCTACGAAATGACGTTTGTATCTCCTCTCTTCTCGAAATACCGAACGCGATGAATGAACTCCATATATGGTTATGCCGTTTGTATTTTTTTATAATCATGGTTTCTGTTGAAGTCAAATGAACATAATTCATAGAAATGTCTATTTGATTGTGTTGGCAATCAAAAATGGAAACGGTATGAATGAGCTCTACTATATCCAATGACGTTTGTATTTTTGTAAACGATAGTTATTCAAATGTCATGAATGGTCCCAAATATGCAAAATGCCATTTGTATTGTTACAATATATCCTTTTCAATACGCGATGAATAGTTTTGAGTACTCAAAATGTCGTTTGTATTTTGCGAAATATCGGTAGTTATTGTTTCAAGTAGAAAGATTTCCTGTCACTAAATCAACATCTGGCTGTATTATTGAGTGAATGACATAAATTATTCTCAGTGACAAACTAGAACATCATATTTTTTTCAATAAAAATTTTATTAGGAATTTTTTGATCAAAATTGTAGAATACAAATATCGATTTTATCATGAAAAGAGGAAGTTTTTTTTCGCTGTGACTCAATAGGTCACAATTTTATAATCCGCTTTACTTTCTCGCGCTTCGAGTTTCTCTTCTTGGACGGTTGTTCTTTTTTTTCACCCGATTTGGAGTAAGTATCTTCTAGACCTGGAGGCGATTCCAAGTTCATTTCCTGATCTTCATCAGCGTCTGCATCATGAGCTGACTGATCATGTCGCACAGGAAATGATTCATCTGAACCCCTACTTTTTCCTCGATTGACCTCAAGATTCCTGCAAAAATGTATATATTACTAGTTACTTTTGCTCGACAAAAATCTTATTTGAATTGTATACCTAATAAATTTCAAAGATTTTTGTCTTTTTGATGAAAAGCCTAAAATAATTATCGATCGCTAAGTTACTGTAGATAAAGTGAGTTTTTCAAAATACTAATTTGAGATATTGAAATATTTTATAACTTAGTAACTAATTCACGATAAAAAGGGACATACTGGTAATATTGTCTTGCTGTGTCTGGGAAGGTGACAGCATTTGAAATAGTGATCAAATCTTTCTTTTTCGCTAAAGAAATTGGCAAAATTGAAGAATAGAGTTGAGGTAACTCTTGAGCAATTTCAACATCGGTTGCTGTTTTGCCCAGTTTGACAATGGCATATTCCTCATCATCATATCCATATTTAATTTTCAGTTGATTCTCTGAACCTTTTTCGAATCGACATGAAACAATCTTGCTCCATTTGACCTAGAACAAAAAAAGAATAAAGATCAGTATAATTGAATTTGACCTTTTCACAGGAGAAGTGATAACCATGAGATAAGATAAACTCAAACATTTCATATACCTTATTGCCATCAACAGTCTTTGAATTGAGTTTCATGTCGAATAGCTTTTCATTCACTGCTTTGAAATCAATGAAGGATTTCTGATTCATAGGGACAGCATCGTATCGAATTCCATGAACTTTAGCCTTTTCGATCACCTGAAGCCAATCCTGTGGAACATAGATTTTTTGCCCCTTTTTTGCCATTTCGATAGTCCCATGCACTGAATCGCAAACCATTTGGGTATGACCAGAGACTAAGAACGTTATTTCGATTGATTTTAGATTTGAGAATTTTCGCATAGTATGTAGCAAAGCAGTGAATACGAAACGATTCTTATTCTGGCCGCCGCAACCATCACTGTAGAGAGAAATGTGCTCAGCTTCAGAACATTGAGTATTGATATGTTGAACGATACATGAAGCAATATCGCAGCTACCACGTTGTGCAATTGTTTCGTCCCAAACGTAGCAGTAGCCTTTACCTGCGCCATGATCGTAAATCGTCAAATTGTAGACACACAGCTTTCTTTTGTAGTAGAAGCTTTTGACATTGAAATATGGGGCCAGAAGAACTTGCTGTAGGTCAAATGTGAAACACTTGAACATCCTATCATTTTTAGACTTATTACTATCTTCAAGCATTTTCAGTCTTGCTTGATTTTTTGCGATAATGTGGGCGTCATATTCAGGAGTCATATTATCTTTTTCTGTTCCTACAGGATACTCTTCATATTTGGCGCAGAAGTCACATCGATCTTTTTTTGGATGATGAAAGCCAAGGTTGTATTCGGTGTTGAAAATGTTGCGATATGTCTGAAGGCTGCAGGGTTTGACATCTTCAGGAAGAGATTCAGTAAAATCAACGTACATTTTCTTAACTGACAGATGAGGCTCGAGGTATTGGCGTTTGCTGTTGGCACGAGTATAGTGACTTGGTACGCAAGGAAAGGATTGGATATGAGTATGAATTTTTTGCAAAATATCAGCTGGGATACGATAAGCATTGCTGGCTCTCTTATCTGGTGAACACAATCCCGAATGTTGCTTGCGTATGATTGTTCTTATCTTGCGACCGGATTCATCAAGTGTAGCGAGAAATGTTGATTTGCAAACTTGAACACGTGAACTATCGATCTTAGGAAGAAAGTAATGGATGTTGAATTTGCGATTCACCTTAGCATTTACAACCATACGCTTCTTATCGACTTTAGTGATCAGTCCAGCCAAGAAGTTTCTCTGTGCTTGCAAATTGCCCAGTTTCCAGTATTTATCGAATACTGCAACTCGATTTTCATGACGCAAAGTTTCTTTGCACTTATAAATGCATTTACAGCTCATTGGTCGAATAGAACGGGCTTGGCGAAGTTTAGTGACTCTATTTACCGTTCCTTCATCAGTTTTCACAAGACTAACATATTCATATTCTCTTCCTTCGTTCCTCTCTCTCTTTTTCTTGTTTTTAATCCAGTTTTCAACACCTTTGCCCTTACGCTTACGAATAGGAAGATTCAGATTCAAAGTTTATTTTGATCATAAAAAACAACATTTGATGAGTTTTTTCTAAAATTCCAATTGGAAGACTACCGTAAGTACAATAGTTATTCAATTAACTAGTACTTCAATGAAGGCGATAAATCATCAAGATAATTTAACGTTCGAGCGCAGCGAGTACGTTAACGTTCGAGATCATTGATCGCTATTTTGATATAAGAGTTGATTACCAAACTCTTCTGTCGATCTCGTTGAATGAATTTTCAATAAGAAAACATTTTTAACAAAAAAAAACGGTACATATTCAGATTTGACAATACATGATTTTGACAGCGCATCGAAAAAGATATTTTTCGAGAATATTCCAGAAATTGCAGTTTTAAAAACATATTAGATCATTTGAACCGAATTTGGTTTGATTGCAAATATATTATGTTTCAAAAATTTACCATTAAAAGAATTAACTGCAGTGGAAGTTTCCTCTTCAGAAGCTATATCTGCTGAGCTAATATTTTCGAGAAGTTCAACATCTAATGGAGTTGTATCATGATCAGATTGCAAAGATCTGCTCAATTCATTCGGTCCATTTTCTTCAAGATCTGAAATTTCATAAAATAGTGAGAATTATAAGAAGTAAACTGATTTGATTTCATGCATGAAATAAATTTTTGAGGAATGACAAGACAAAAATCACAGATTCGTCTTACATGCAATTCATTCAAAAAGCAAATAAAAATAAGCGATGAATGTAAGTACCTTCGGAACAATTTTCTACGTGATCTAGTGTAGTCGTCAATGCTTCTCCAAATTCAAATGATTGGACCGAAAACTCTTCTGAAATGAATTATTTCTGAATGGAAGGAATAATTCGAGTTTATATTTATATAGTTCGATTTTGAAATAACTCACCAGATTCGTTAGTAGGGATTGAAGAAACTTGCACTGGGATGAGAAAATCTCCGTCTGTATTTTCAGGCTTCTTACTGTTTTCAAAATCCATGTTTGCTTTGCTTGATGCATTTATTTGGTCAGCGAGTTGAAGAATTATTTTTCCCCGGTTAGTTGCCATTTTTTTATCCATTATGAACAGTATAATAAGTTTCAATGCAGAATAACGTTGAAAAATTTCAATACTTTCACACACCAAACAAAAAACAGACTGATATTCAGATGAGAAGATCGTAACAAAATCGAAATACACAGCAAGTATTGACACTTGATACCCTAAGGACGCCACGAACACTACTGATTTGTGAAATCAAAACGACATAGGAACTCGTCAGGTTTCTCGACGCTATGCATACATTCTAGGAAACGCAAAATCAAAGAGGCCAATGCGTATCTTATATCTGTTTATATCAGCTTCTGGTTTGACAATTGGAAGAATGCAAGAGGAACAAAGGCAACTTGAATCTATTTATCACGTTATCAAATGATATGTTAGGTACAATCAAAAGGAATCAACATGCAATTTTGACGATTCATCTTAGATTTGTTCAGTGCGCAATGCACAATACAAACGGTATAACCCACAAGCTAGGTCTCCCGATCCCGTTTCTCGTTGGACGTTATTGAACAATACTAGAGACTCAAGTGTCGGACGAAACATCTCTCCCTGTTCATTAATATGACTGTGAAAACAATACAATCGTCTAATGATATGTTTGAATCTCTTTATCTCATAATTACTGGCACACACCAGAACAGTACTATAGTATTTAGGGAGGCTCGTACCACTTCTTCCTGTTTTGGCGTTTTCTACCTTTTTCAGACACACTTGTGCCCCTTGAGAATTCATCAGGCGATATCATTCCACACCGATGTCGGGCAATGCGTCTCCAGGTGCTACGAAAACACCCAGACAATCCGTAAAATCACGTAGTTTCACCGATGATTATTCAAGAATACAAAAAGAAGATGAAGAATCCGAATATAGAACAATGATGGATACACCACCAACATCATCTTCTTCACACATTTCAATCGATACTATGATGCCCGCTGATGGGGCAGAAGCGAACACACTAGATGGACAATTGAGAAAACATTAACATAACTTGAAGTCTAATGACCCCAATTTTGACACCACATATGGCGTTCGTATCGATCCCAACACGAAAAACACGATGATGGGTGCCATGGAGATTCGTTTTCCTCCCGGACAAATTGAGTTATTGTGCAGCAATAAGAGGGGCAAAATTTTTCCAGCAACGTCTGAACTATATAACCTTATATTCATGAAACACATACCGAGATCGATCAATGATCGAGATAAGAGCGTATACACAGCCCTGCTGAAGAATACAAAGGCGCCATATAAGAATTTCAATGTACAGGAAGGGTTGAATATGAGTACGAAATCAAAAACGAAATATCAGCAAATTATCAAACCATTAATTGGTTCTCCACATAATATGAGGAGTCAGCAGCAAAAAGTTGAAGGTGGTGGAGGAATATTACAATTGATACCATCCAGAAAGAGTGTTAGTAAACGCCGCAAAGAGTACGTCTATTGGAATAAAGCTACAGAATAAGTAGAACGCCTTCGGCTATTGTGGAGTTCAAAATCAGCCGGTCACACTGAGCACGATAATGAAATGATGGCAATAATTGAGGAATTACGCGAAGAAGGCATTGTGCATTAATTTTAATTTGTCTCCAAGGCATAAGAGGGATATGATGTATGCTGGCCTATTAGTATATCAACGTTATTCAAGGAGATCACAAGCATTCAGAAGTATTTCAATAGGTTTGAATAACGCTGTAATGGAGATAAGTGCAACCAAAAGGCGAATAGTCAATGAACTGCATAAACCTGCCAGACGAAAGTTTCATAGAAGGAGAACTATAATAAAAGGTTTCGCAGACTTATGGCAAGTAGATTTAGCTGAGATGCAAACGTATTCTGAAGAGAATAGTGGTTATCGATACATATTATTCACCATTGATTGCTATTCTAAATATATCTGGACAGAGCCGATAAAATATAAAACCGGATCAGAAGTGACACATGCTATGAAGAGAGTATTGGAAAGGGCTGAATACTCGCCAAGAAATATGCAGAGTGACCTCGGTAAAGAATTCTATAACAACCACTTTGGCACATTGATGGCGAAATATGGAATCAATCATTATTCTACGTATAGTACGATGAAGGCTGCGATCGTTGAACGGGTGATAAGAACACTGAAGAATTGGATTTATAAACAATTTCCTGCCAGAGGTGAATATAGATGGTATGATATTTTACCGCGCCTAACCAATGCGTACAATAACAAAGTGCATCGAACAATTGGTATGAAACCCTCTGAGGTCACATCTACTACGAAACTGCAAGCTTATAGTCACATGAAGATAGCACCAGAAGCTAAATATCAAGTTGGTGATATAGTACGGATAAGCAAATATAAGGGGGTTTTTGAGAAGGGATATACAGCAAATTTCTCTACGGAACTATTCAAAATATTCGAAGTGAATTTAACGAATCACAGAACATACAAGCTTGAAGATATGGAGGGCAAACCGATCAAAGGATCCTTTTATGAATTGGAGCTATTGAAAACCGCCAACCCTGAGGCATACTTGGTGGAAGAAGTCTTGAAGAAGAATGGAACTAAATTATTTGTCAAATGGCTCGGATTCTCTGACCAACACAATTGTTGGATTGATAAGTCTGCAATAATTCGATGTATGCTAACTCAATAAAGTTCTCCCGAAACCAATTGTATGCGTTTCTTTATCCATCCTCTACCTGTTAAATCATTGTCAATCCAAAGGAAAAAAAACACGAACACGTTTTCATTAAAAATTATATTTATTGAAAAATTTCGATTCGGAAACGTAATATTCATATATACAGAGTGACCCATTTGAAAGCGGGCCACCCCTGTATCTCACGTTATCGTTGGGTAAGGATCATGAAATTTGCTGGAGCGCGATATATACCAAAAATGCACTCTATAACCAAGTGGGGTCATCTTCAGTGATATACACTGCTCGCCAACAGCCATGGAACCAACCCAATTTCCTGAAAATGATATTAGGAGTCAAAATAGGTTGAAAATCACTCCGGATTCGGAATCAGGACGCCCAAATCACTAACTATTCATATTTTTCCTTGAAAATTTTCAGTTCTGAAACATTAAATTTTGTCGCACTTTTCATGGAAGCACCCCCGTATCTCACGTAATTATTGGGGTAGGGTTCTAAAATTTGCAGGAGGAACGGAAAGTCCAAAGATAAAGTCAATTACGTGAGATACGGGGGTGCTTCCGTGAAAAGTGCGACAAAATTTAATTTTTCAGAACTGAAAATTTTCAAGGAAAGATATAGAGAGTTAGTGAATTGGGCGTCCTGATTCCGAATCCGAAGTGATTTTCAACCTATTTTGACTTCTAATATCATTTTCCGGAAATTGGGGTGGTTCCATGGCTGTTGGCGAGCAGTGTATATCACTGGAGATGACCCCACTTGGTCATAGAGTGCATTTTTGGTATATCTCTCGCTCCAGCAAATTTCATGATCCTTACCCAACGATTACGTGAGATACAGGGGTGGCCCGCTTTCAAATGGGTCACTCTGTAGATATATTTATATAATAATAAGTATGAGGAACCCAATCCCTCTTCCTATTGGTCATCTTCATCTGAACTGGCCTGTTCCCGTACGTAGTATGGTTCTGGTGGAGGTTGGTTTAGGCTCCTACGATATTCCCGTCTCTCGTGCGGCAAACACCAGCACGCGCTGAAATGGTGGTCCTCACTTCTATATGGATGGCCGACATTTTCACAAAAATATGCCCCATTTGAGCATCCGGCACATACACCATTCCAGCAGTCGTTCCGATA